GAGGTGAGAAGGAATCTTTACAAGGTGGCAGATTCAAACTGCACCAACCTAAAATGAACAGGCCAAGACAGAAACACAGGACCTGCACAGGCCTTAAAAGGATGCTGTGATGTGAATGTATAGCAATACTAGCACTGACCCAAGAGACAGTAATTATTTTGGGTTTTTCTGATTTAAAAATCAAAAGAAAGAGAATAAGATGCATTTTAGAATCTTTTGATTTGTACATCATGATTTTCTTTTTAGTAGACTGTAGGTCTGCTACAGACCTGAAATATTCACATGCCCTTCTGCAACACTACATGACTTAAGTAATTCTTCAAGAATACTCAAGTTTTTAATTTAAATAACTGACTTGACTACTTATAAACTGTAACTAAAAGTTAGTTAATTGCTAGATTTCCTTCATTAAACAAGTAAAGCTGAGACAAGATATCTTTTTAAATGTTCTTCCTGAATAGAATTTGTCTGATAAAATGGCGGTGCTACCTAAAACACACATCTGAGGTGGCTTTGAAGTATTTTTGTAGGAATACAAATCCTATGTGAAAGGGCAGGGCAGGTGCAAATCACAAATGACTCAGAAGAGCCCAAGAAGAGAAGAGAATTACCAGAAGAGAAAATAAAAGAGCTAAATTCTCAAAGATCAGAAAGATGTTAAGCAGTCATAGAATTTGGAAGGACACACTTTTTTTCAGAGCATTCAGAAAAGAACATTTTGTTTAGCTGCCTAAGGATTAGCAAAATCACTTCAGCTTTCTGCTACTTTTCAGATAATGTTACATTTCTTGTTTTGCAAGCTAAGTAGGTGGGTGTGTTTCCCTTCTTTTGGCCATACCCCGGTGCTAAGAGCAAGAATTTGACTTCCCAGCAGCACCAACAAGGAAAGCTGGTGTAGACAACACATTGCCAAATGCCATTCATTTTGTCTGTTGTACAGACCTGTTACTCATCCTTGCACAATATACATTGTTCAATTAATATTTAAAGACTCACTGATGCCATACAGCAATCTAGATACGGAGAGAAACTTCCTGCTTTGAAGGTGTTTGCTGAGAGGTGGTCAAGAAGGCTGCTGTTACATGTAATTATCAGCTAGATATATCAATGTCAAAAGTAGGTATTTGATGAAAAATCCATTGTTCTTTAGCTGTAGAATGTTCTAATTAGAGCAGTAAAGCAAAATACTTAGCTGGAATTTGCGATAACTGAAATTTCTTGTGCAGAGACTTTTGTTTCCATATAATTTCTATATCTGCATGCTTTCTATATTTCCAGCTCAGTCCTATAGTCTCCCAGGGAATCACCCAACAGGCTTCTGTATCAGCTGAGCTTCAAGGATTTTGAGTCTTTGAATCCATACAGATTAATGAAGAGCTGAAAACCTGGATGTTCAAATTTCAATCATGAGGTTCCTGGTATCCGGTGATGCAAGATTTTGGAGCAGTCTGCTAAAGAGACAAGTCTGGGACATGGCTGCTTCTCAGGCTCTGATCTCTTCTCTGTGGTGTCCAGTGACAGGACCCGAGGCAATGGCCTGAAGTAGTGTCAGGGGAAGTCTAGGCTGGACATTTGAAAAGGGTTCTTCACCCAGAGGGTGGCTGGGCACTGGAACAGGCTCCTGGAACAGGCTCCCCAGGACAGTGCTCACAGCACCAAGACTGACAGAGTTCAAGAAGTGTTTGGACAATGCACATGGTGTGATTCTTGGGGCTGTCCCGTGCAGGGTGAGAAGCTTGACTGGATGATCCTCATGGGTCCCTTTCAACTCAGGATATTCTATGTTTCTATTATTTGAACAATGTCTACACACTTATTCCCTCTTAACCCAAATCAAAACCAGTAAAATCCTTGATAAAATGCATCCACCATAACTGTCAACTTGCTCCAATTTTTTTTATAGGCTTTTTGAATACAGAAAATTACACAAGGCCTCATTGCTACTGAAATAAAATTTAAATTAAAATGCAGGCTGAAATAAATTTAAATTATAATTATAAATCATGATACAGTTTATCTTTCCCCAAGGGGAAAAAAAAAAGCAATGACCCTATTCTTCCACTTAGTCAAAAATCTAGCTGGAGTAGGAGAAATGAGAGCATGAACATCAGAAGAGTTCTCAACTTCTTCCATTCTGGGACATCTTTCCTAATGCTTTCTGTTCCATGGGCTCCAATAGCTCCCTGATAGCAACCACAAAACTTGAAAACAAAAGAAAGAACAGAAAACACATCCCAACTTGTCCCTGAACCTTTCTTGAATGCATTAGACTAGCCAAGGTTGAGACATAAGTCATTCATTTATAATAAACACTTACACACAAAAAACCAGAAAACCTCAACTCCCTTAACTAATGGTTTCTAAAAATGCTTATTCAAACTGACACATGCATGACAAGTTTTGGCTGAGTGCGATTTAAGGAGGAGGAGTTATACCACCCAGAAAAATGGTGTTTATGACAGAAATGACAAAGAATCATTCATCATGGGGTTTTTCTATGTGGAGCAGTAATAAAGCCTAAATGAGACTGCACTTCATTAGTAATTTATTTCGCAGATCACTATATATACACAAATAGCATAACTCTATTACATTTTTATAGTGCCATTTATTACAGTACTTCACATACTATATCCACATGGCAACACAGAAATGCAGCTTTCTCTGGGGAAGACAACAGCAGCCAACTGCAGAGCAGCATACAGAGAGGAAACACTTCTGAGCCAGAAGAGCAGAAATAAGAATTTTCAGACTAATCAAGGAAAGAACAATATAAAACAATAAAACTGACACCCCAGAGATGTGCAGCTAACTCAAAGAATAGTGTTGCACCATTTTTATTTGCCTGATGCCCCATTTGATTCAGAAAGTAGAAATAAAAGAGGAAAACTGAATACCCTTGCCTTGTTCAGTCAGAATGACCAACTGCAGAGACTCCCACCAGAGGTCCCTGGCTAAAATTCTCTTTCCTTTTATTTGATCCTTGAGCACTACACTGGCAATTTCCACTTGCCACAGGAAGGAAAAGAGCATCAGTTCAATTGCTTTCATCAGTCTGTATCTTGGATGCCACACTTCAGGCATAGCCAAGGACATATTCTCATATATCAAGAAAAGAGATGCCTTTCTTTCCCTGCTAAGACTTCTGCAAAGTGAGGGTTCAGGGCTACACCACTCTCCATCTGAAAACAATTTTCAAACTTTCACACTTAGAGGCCTAACATTTCCATTAAACTTCCAGAGATGACTGATGACTCCTGCCTTCCAAATACAGGTGAAAATCTGGCATGCTACACAAACCCACAAAATGTTGCAATAAGATGACAGAGAGAACACCTGAAAATGTCTCATCACAACATTTGCTTGTGAAGTAACAGTGACCAATTATGTAGCATTGGGCCTCTGAAATAACATATTATATGCATTACATGAATGCTTTTAGAAATTAAAGTTAAAAAAATGCACTGCTTTTAACTAGTGAGGCATGTTTAAATTCAACAAATATTCTCTTGAATTTGTTGCCAAAAAACTCTGCTGTAAGAAGACTGATAAGAAGGTAAGTGTCCTGTCAGTTGTAGATACTCTATTTTAAAAAATAAATTTTAAAGGGAAAAAACCTCTAAATAAAGACCCCATACTTAAAATGTAATTTATGAACTTTGATTGTTGGAGAGAAAACATGATTTTACCTAGCATATTTTTTTAATCTTTTCTGATGAATTAACTAGAAAGAGAACAAAAAATCAAAACTATGAGAAAAATATTTGCTGAGCACTAAGTTAAAATCTGTTTGACAGCAGAGAAAAAAGTTTTAAGAAAACTTGTCAATATTGATTTTGACTGCATTGTGGGAGCTTGAGAATAAATACATTTATATTGTTTCTCCTATGGATCTTTTTCTGATGTTCTTTCACAAGCATTTTGTTATTAAATCCAGAATTATGGTCCACAACATACAGTATCTAATTTGATAAGAGGCTGAGTAAACGTACATCAATACAATTTTTCTTTCTCTTTTTGTGTCATATTGCACTTCTGCCTGCTTTAGCAGGAGATTAACTACTAACAGTTTAAGAAATAAAACCTTCAATACTGAAATGAAATACTGATTTAAGATGCAGGTTTTAATTACTCATTTAAGTGATCTGCATTCTCTAGTTACTATATAAAAGAGGGACTATCTGAAAAAAATATGATGCCCTATTTGGGTAAGTTAATGAGTCTGAATTAAGTGCATGAGTATTCCCCATTGAAACTGGTAAGACTGTTTGAATCCCTAAGTGAGGCAAGTGAGTAAATGAAATCTCTTTTCTATTTTAACTACTAGACATGCTGGAAAGACTTTTTTTTCTTGCTCTAATAAACCCTGCAATCTGACCAACAAATGCAGGAAGGACCAGGTATTGTAGGAAATATTATGAAACTGAAATTTTATTTCCAGCCTGTTACTCTCCAAATCATTCTCCTCAACAGATGTGAGCACACAGCCATAAGCTCTGGAGAAGATATTCATTATAAAAGGTGTGAATGAGTGGATTCAGTGCACTGGAGCTGAGAGAGCATGCACAGGCTTGTGTAAAAGGTGAAGAACAGGAGAACAAACAGAACTAATATTGACTTGGACATTGCTGGCGGGGCACCAAGGAAGGTCACAGGTGAAAAGAGGGTCAAAATAAAGAAAGTCTTAAGAATGAGAGGTTTATCTTCAACACTTCTTTTCAGGTAAGAAAGCTAATTAAGTGACTTGGCAAGTTTGAAAGATTTGCTTCCCAGTTTCCACTCAGACAAATCAGGGAGCTACAGAGTTTTGAAGAAGCAAAGAAGCAGGAGCTGGTTTTCATAGATAAACTTTACAGTCATTCTACATCTAACAGTTTTACCTAAGTACGGAGACTTTGTAATTCTTTCCTGGAACAATTCCTAGTCAGTCAAATCAGCCTATGCAAATACACTGTAAAAAACTCTCATTAAAAATAGAAATATCGGATGATGCTACTTACCTGCCTGTCTACTTCTGGGAGCAAAAGCAGGAGGTATTGTTGGAAATGCTGAGGTAAAGAAGCAAAGGTGTGTTTATTTATTAAAGCCCTCAGGTTAGTGTTCACTAGAATAGATCCCGGTGTTTCTATGTCAATATCCTCAGCTTTGGTCCATTTCAAATGTCCTGGAGTAAATAAACAGAAATAACTTTAAACATAAATAAAGGAAGAGAGTAGGAACAAGTCTTCTTTTTAAGTTTTTAGCTTTTATTTTATAATACAGTAAGCTCTAGAGAAATGGTTCTCTGAGAAGAGTAACATAGCCTTTTCTAGGTGTCTTAACAGATTTTATACTTGTATAATAATAAAAAATATTTTATATTTGTCTCTTGAATATAAAATATTTTTATTTTATATCCAAGAGACAAAATGTATTTGTCTCTTGACCTCTTACGTTCCAGTAACATCACAGCTGACATATTCTTACTTCCAGCTCAAGACCAACCCAACAGCCACAGAAAATAATCCTGTCATGTCACCAACAATAATTATATAAGCATCTATTTTCAAGCAAAAGGCTGCTTGATGAGGCTGATGTGAATCAATCATGAATAGCTTCTCTTTTGCCATCAGCAGTGCTCTATGGCCTACACTTGTCCCATCGCACCTGCTAAAACTACCTGTGTGAATAGAGTGATCAAAGAGATGAGAATATTTAATATGTTAATGTCTGAAAACATTAACCACAAAAAACAAAAGCATTTTTCAGAATTTTCCTAAGAACTGATGATCTAAAATGACCCACACAGAGAAGGCAGCAGCAGGAATTGTGAGATTAGTAAACAGGGTATGTGAGGAATGATACAAACCTGGGAGTAAGATAAAGACTCAGCAGAGGGAAAGAGAAAATCCACATACTGCTCATGCACAGCACTACAGAATAAAGTCTTCTTACTTTACACAGTGGACAGAAAGGCTATCAGCTTAAACTCTTGCACAGTAAGAAATAAGATACTGGGAAAAGAAAGCTTTCAACCACCAAGAACAAGGAGATGCTGGATTAGATCTATACGGAGGTATTAGTCTCCATCAGTGAAAATCTTTTAAGAATATGTTAGAAAAATACCTGTCGGTAATGACAGATGCGTATCTGATTTTGACCTATTTGATGAACAAATTAGATAATCTCTGGAGATCCTGTCTGGTCTGATTTTCTTAGTATTTCTAGGATAATATTTAGAAGATACTTTTTAAAGCTTCTTGAAGAGCTATCTGCTTCAAGGTATTTATATACTGCTCCAATCTTTTTTCTTCCTCTAAGTCTTGACATATCAAAGTCCAGGTGGCTGGAAAAACTCAAAAGCTTCTAACCCCTCCCAGGAAACTTCTTCAGGTTTCAGTCTGTTGTACTTTTAAATATTTCAGAAATGGTGTAAGTGGGGCCTGAACTATATAAAACACAAACCCCATAAGAATCTCTTAAAAAGTGATTAGAAGATTATTCCACTGCTATGATGAATGATAGCATTCGGCATTTACATAGGACTTCTCAGCAACAATTAAAACTGACATGTTAAGAAGAATAAGTATGTTTCAAAAATGAGAAAATTTGGGCATACAGATTATTAGGAATATCTCAAAAGCTATGAGCCACTTAACAGCAACATTAATAGAAGGAATGCAATTATGCTTTATATTTCTTAGAGGACCTATGGTAGTCTCTTCCCTGAAAGTCTGTATCTACAAAATATACATACCCAAGAAAATTCGTAAATTTACAGGAAGATTTGTAAATTCTGAAAACTCCACTTCAGTCACAGCCTCCCGTAAAATAAATTTTATTTTTCAGCAGCCCATAGTAACTGAATGAGACAAGGACTACTTTGCACCCAGCACAGGGTAACGTATTTCTAACATACTCTATTTCAGTACAGCAAAGACTCCATTACCAACAAATGAATGCCCTGTTATACAGGACGATTGCATGGAAGAAGTGCCCATTTTCATGGAGGCATCACAATAAACTATCCTCACCATCTGTTCCATCCACTAAATATAAATGTAAAAAGAACACGGTCCCTGAGCATAACACAAGTTGTATGATGTATTGAATTTTAATGCCTGTATGTATATTCTCTTCTTTAATCAATACAAAATACATATCCCTGTCTTCTAAGTGACTCCAAATTAGGGTAGCATTTTCCCCAGCTAGCTCTTCATATCCTATGGGAAGGCATAACACACAGAGATAATCCAAACTGAAATAAGATACTTCAAAAATGACTGCAAAATCAGCAACATCCTCCAGTGGCAGGTATTCTCATAGCATGAAAAGCCCAAGACAAAGAGTCAAACCTCCATTTTCTGATTTATTTGACCTGCTTTCACTTACAGAATACTATGGAGGTTTATCAGATTCTGGAAGAGATGTGTGTATTGCTTCTAGGCCAGTAGCAAACTGCGGATGCCCACCACCATCAGTCCTACTTAAAAAAAGGCCTCAAAATCTGCTCAGAATAATTTTCTCTCCTTCACCCTTCCTTATGGCTAACTTAGTATCTTTGTAGTAGGTCCCAAGTTTGTAATAAGACTTAGTGAAGGATTTGGGAGCAGCATGGAAGTATGACACTCGTGCATCACTAATCATAGCTCTGAGAAGAGTTTAGGACAAAACATGTGCCAATGCTTTTTATGTTGTTTTCCACAGAGAAAGACATTTTGAATCCTTATATAGTTCAGGGGTATCACTGTCCAGATCAGAAACAGAAACTGTAAGACAAGAAAGAAACTCAGGCTTGCAGCCTTGGAAAAATAAGAGTTTAGTCTTCAACATATAGAATTAACCATAAGGAGATGGGAGCACCATGGTTCTACAGCAAGGTACAAAAATGAAAACAGAAAAAGGACAGAAATCACACAGTTGGTAGAATCTGTAAACTAAAAGGGAAAACAAGTAATCATATTTAATCAGAGCTCAGAAAGTCTACCAAACACGACATGTAGTGAATGCTGGGCAGATCAGCAGTGTTTCAGACAATCAAACAATATCTGGACCTGAATTGTGCACTCTACAGGACCCTGGACCTTTCTTAAAGCTGCTTTACAACTGCACTTTTAGCATCCCAAGAAATGTTGTGTCATGAGAGAAACACTTCAGCAGGTACAAGAACAGAAACCCTTAAACCTTGTACAAAGTTCCCCGCATTCCATGTGTGGTGTCCCAGAAGGACACTAGATTTATTTTCCAAAATCCACCAAAAAACGCCTAATGAATTAATTTGATATCATCAGCCAACAGTTGATGTCATAACTGAAGATGGGAAGGAATGTGTACTTGAAATTATATATCTCAGTCTTAAATGTAGAGAAAAATTACAGGAAATCATTTAACATTGAATGTAACTTGACACAGCAAAAACCGTAATGCTGAAGGAATATTATCTATTTTGAATAATGATGTTGGATCAACACAGAGAACTAGCTATCCACATGGGACTGATTGATAATCTGCAGAATGATCATGTATGAAACCAAAGTACACTTTCATGGTTTATAGGTTACAAGGCTTATAGGTTACACTGCCAGGAACCGGCAATAGCACATTTAACAACTCTCCTATGGCATTTAGGAAGTAAAGTGCCTTGGAGCTATTTTACAGGATCATTATATATAAAAATAGGACTAGGCTGGATGATTAATAAAGAAGAACAATCTTATCCCCACAAAGATAGACATAAAATAACTTCCAGGATTTAGCCACTACAAAAAGCTCATTTGTTATCTTTTCCAACATGGCCACATTGCAAAATATTTCTTTAAATGATTCAGCATTCTGCTGAATGAAAAAAAGTACTTTCTAAAGATAAAGAAACAGTTATGTCATTATTTGACTTCACTTAAGCAGAGAGAAGAGTCTTAGTGAACACTACATTTTGTTCTCCCTAGGGAACTTTTTGAATTAAATTTCATGCAGGGCAGGAAAACTGCCTATCACATGGAGACTGAGAATTTACTCTTAGCATCTCTTCAGAGAAAATTCTTTGTTAATTACAGAACATGATCCATGAACATCACTAAAAAACCAATGGAAAATAAACCCAGAAACTCTATCTAGCACTTCAAGAGATGTAGCTTCAAAACAGTTACAGATCCAACTGAAGAACTAAATCAATCAAAGAAGGAGAACCAAACAAAACTTTTATGCCTCTATAATCTAAATCTCTCTCTATATATATATGACATGCAATAATGCAAATGAAGAAAAGAGAATGTTAACTTGTAATTGGGCAAGCATGTAAGCAAATATGCTATTATCTCTGGGAATAAATACACATTAGGCAAGCAAATTCACCATGAAGAAAGAATATCTGTTACACACCACCCCCATTCCCCAAAAAGTCATTACATAACAATGAGACTCTAATTGCTAAATCACCTTTCTGACTGTGGTTGCTTAGGTCTGTGAAACTTTACAAAGCAACCACTGAGGATGAAAAAAAATTGACCATGGATTTTTCAGTTAGACAGAAAGATGTCTTCTTGAGAAAGGGTCAGCTGTTGAGTTTGAAAAATGGAGAGGTAAACAGAAAAATAAAACTTTCCAAAAGAACACAGAGTTTAGAAAAATAGCAATATTACAAGTAAGATATTTATTTTACTCCTACTCACCTAAACCAGATTTTTTTAACCTCTTTAAGTGCTGGCTTGTTTGCTTTCCAGTTGGAGACTTTTGCCCATGTTTCATCTCTTTATCAGAACCATCTGCTTCACCATTTTTAGATTCCGATCCTTTGAAAAAGTAAAATCCCTCAAATATGATGTTTTTGCACTTTTACTAACAATCCCCTCAGCACCCCCTACACCATAAACAAAACAAAAATAGGATTAAAAAAAAAATTGACATCTTCTTGCTGAAAGGCAATATACCTTTCTGGTCACAATACAATTCCTCCTCAACAGAGGAATTGGAAGTAAATCAATTAAATGCTGAAAACTAAAGTTTACTGAACACTGCAGTCAATAAAAATGTTCAGTGATCTAATAAAAATAACATAGTTCTATAATGCCCAGGGGATATTTTTAAAAATATTTTAACCTTAAGTTATGAGGCAGTAAAGCAACCTAAGGCTGAAAAAAGATCATTTCTTTTTGAAGAAACATTTAAAGAAAAGATATGTTTGGAAATGCAATTGTCAATTTGTGTTAAACATAGTCACAGAAACCTCTTAAAATGAAGCAACTTAACCACCAGAGATAAAGGTCAAGGTTATGCTGCAGTGATAAGCATGGTATAAGAAGAAGAAAAGCTAACAAAAGGATTTGAGTATTGCAATGCAGAACTGAGACAGAAATCCACATTCACAGAGAAGCTTGCCTTCCCCCCCCACCCCGCCTCTTTTTATGGCATTGAATACCAGCATGTGGTCCTCCATTAGAGCTCCAGAGCCAAACAAAATGTTACTTTGCATTCCTTTAAAGCTGCTGCTATTACCAATTGTCATTTTACTGTGTGCCTTCAGTTCTTTATTAAAGAAAAATCTCCATCCTTGAGACACGAGTCTTGGTAAGGAAATAAAGACATTAAACAAAGCCACCCAGTGGAAATATTATTTCAGCAATTCCAAATTCTTTATGCTACACATCTGATTCAGAGGAAGGCTCTGCGACTAGAGCTGATCTTGCAAACAGTTCTTTAGCTATTTACCTGAAGGTGAATCCGACTGCTCATCGGACACCTTTAATGGTGTCAAAACAACACGAGGAACAGTCTTGTTTACCATCATTGAGACTCCATTTCTTCTTTTCTGCTGTTGCCTCAAAGCCTACAAAAACGATAACAAAACATAAAACTGTAGCAAAAAACAATGCTTGTAAGTGAATTACACATGACATTTCTCTACCATTAAACTGAATCCCTTAAAATAAGCGTAATTTACACAGCTACTGACTTGCCAGACTTCACACTCGTCCTCTTTATGTCATTTTCTTTTAAAATACAAAATCAGGCTTTTTTTTCCTTTTTTTTTTATAGAGAAAGAAGATGCACCTTAGATCATTTTCCAATCCAGTTTTGACAACAAAGAAGCACGTAACTGTTTTCTCTACCTTAACAGCACAACGTGATAACCCATGAAATGTGAAATTGAGATTTCCAAAAAAAAAAAAAAAAAGTAAACCCAAACTGTTGCAAAACCAGAACAAAAACATGTATGTCTGCACATCTCTCGCAGGTGCATCCTCTCCAGTATACTGCTCAGTCAATCAAGTTAACACAGAGTGTCATCAGTATGTACAGCATGTAAGGACTACAGTATTGATGCACTCACTCAGCCGTGAGTAGTGCTGCACAAAATCACTGAACATGGCAGGAATCATTTATTTTCGTGAAGGGAATCAGTCCTAATCTTGGAAACCTTGCAGCATTTGGCTTCTGTCTGTTTGACTTTGGGCATTAACCTTCAGAACACGAACATGATGGTGTTCTGGCAAATCTGGGGAAAAATGATACACGAATAAATCTCTACAAATGGTAGTGCTTTGTGTTTCATAAATGTATCGAATACAGGGCTGATAATGTAATATAAAATATCTACAGATTAGAAATAGCAAATACCCATCAGACTGTTTTATATGGAAAATGATATCTCATTCAAAAGGTCTTAAAACATACAAGTATGAATACCAGCCACTTAATACATCTGCAAGCATTAAAATCCTGGAATTAATCAGAATGGGCTGGGCTTATATACAGATCTCTCCTAGCCTTCTGTCTATTTTTCTCCATTCTTACTGTGCACTCTATTTTCACAATTGTGATTTGTGTTATGAACTTGGGGGGATTTATTGAAGTAATACCATATCAACAAGGAACATATTTTATATGAATTATCCCTATAGGTTTATGAGCATGAATGACTGATACCCTATAAGGTTGGAGTCTGTAACTTTAATGGATTGTAATAACACTCCAAATTGTTCACATGGCCAAATAATAGGAAAAAAAGCCTCTGAGAAGAAAGAAATCGATATTGGTCTATTCCTCTAAATAACACTCTACACAACGTAAAATACACCAGGCCACATAGAAGCTATTTCATGGATTAACCCATTTTATTGTACTTCTTAAAAGACACGTAAACACTGTGCAATGAAAAGCAAATGAGAACACTTGAAATCAGACAAAGAGAGGAAGCTGGTCAGATCTGCACTGAACCAAAGACACAGCAGAAAACCATAAAGAACAGCCTATACCTCAAACATTTTTGAGACAGAAAATTCATACTGGTATCAAGCAAGCATAGCCAGACTAGTGGACAGAAAATTCTAAAGTGTTAACATTTCTCAGAAAACCCTCAAATTTCCAAAAATGACCCTGCAAACCTAAGTGTCAAATCAGGTGATTCTTAATTAACAGTAATACTACAGAGACAGTGGTAAATAGTTCACAAAAATTAACTGAAAAGATTGGCAATGTCTGCACTACCAATACACCCATATGACCACAACCCAAACTTTGCATCATGGTACCCCACAGTCAATTTACCTCATGTCATCCTCATTTCCTCCACCCAAGGCAAATGGTTAGAGCTCAAACAATGCTCCATGTTCTCCTTCTGCCTCCTTCTGACTTTCCAAGAAAATTTCCACCTCTACCAAGGGTCCATAGCCTTGCTGCCAGCATCCATACCGAAATACTATTTTAACCATTTATACAGCCACTGTGGCAAAGGCAGATTCTTTGTCGAGCCTTGCAGCTGATTCTCAATGCTTAGACTGAACTCCCATGAAGGAGAGAAAGGAAGCAGCGGTGTATCCACCACCAGTGACAGGCGTGCAGTGCTTGTACACCTCAGGTGACACGCGTGCCGCTGGATCGAGGGCAGCCGTACCCAGTATTTGCCAGAAGCACCACTTACCTTCTTTTCTGTTACTGGCAGGCCCCCTGTGCTCCTTAAGCACACATTTATGCAACTGATCTGACATTTGTAAAAACACAGGCCAATTCATGCCCATGGGGCACTAATGCAAGACACTCCCTGGACAGTTAGATGAGGAAATACAGCTGGGAGCAGACAAAGCTACCAGAACTATTTCCTTTAAGGCATAGAACACTTCTCAAGCTACAGGCTAAGCACCTCTATACGTGAGGGTCAAGCACAAACCTTAAAGACACCATTTCTCCTTGACAAACATTTGCTTTTCAGGGTTTCTTTTTCACTAACATGCATTCACTGCCAGTCCCTCAGTTTCACAGCGCAAGGAACTGATCACCAATAAGGGCCCAAGTCTGAAAATCAAGCTGATAGTAAAGCTACACACACCTGAGGGACAGGCTGTAAAACAAAAAAAATGCAACCCCAAAATTCCCCTAAAACCCAACCCCCCCACAATGTGGACATTAAATCTAAGTAAAACTTTTAACACAAAGTTAACGAATTACCAATTAATTACCCTGTGTACAGAGAATAGACACATAATCTTCCCCATGCCTCTCTGTCTTTTCATTTGTCAAATGAAAGATATGAGACAGGGGAAGAGGGTACAAAGATATCAAGTAAATATATCTAACATATGATTGGCAGGGTAAAGAGATGGCTGAGATTCTGCACAGACATTCTTCTTGTGATATGCCCAGTTAATCACAAAAAATTGGTGTAAAATTCTCCTCTGAATTTTCAAGCTGCAGGATCTGAAATTTTGGACAGCAAGTCTTTGGAAGACAACCCGAGGAGCAATCCAGCAGTGGGAGAAACTGCTGACTGACACCCAGTTCCAAGGGAAGCCAAACATTAGAACAAGTTAAGCTTAAACAAAGGACAATCTCTTTAGTCTCTGCTGTGGACAAATATATAACTTCTCTACACCTAGCCTGAGGGATATTCATTTTAGAATACAAGACTACTGTAGGATAAGACAAGAATCTTGTAACCCAAGATTAATTCTACTTAGCTGGGAAGTCAATGAGATTACTCCAAGTGAAACATGCACCAAATGCCTGCTATACTGAGCTTTTAGTGCGCCAAGCTAATTTAGTGCTTTCCTAGTCATCACGACCAAATAAATCAAATTTATAACTAGCACTGAAGAAAATGAGAAATGTTGCAACTTATTCCACGGAAAAATGGTTCCAGCTATCACTGTAGATAAGGAAACAGTAACTAACACATACTGCATTGTCATCTTTTACCGACACAGCCTTTTGCATCTCATCCATATTTAGAGATATATAACCTCCTAGCTGGACTTCCTACAGAACTGCAAGAAGCAGATGATGATTTTACCAAGGTAAAGGTGTCATTTTCGCTATAGAAAATTAGAGAAAAACACATGTAGTGCATATGATAGCTTACATAAAGATTATTTTTCTGTAATAAGAAAATATCTTTTTCTCTATGTGTACATTTCAAATGCATTCAATCACTTCATGCTAAATGCTTGAGTTAAAAAAGCTGCACATTTTAAATACCTAGAACTGATCACTGTTGAAGTATTCTGTAAGACATTACTACCATCCTGTTTGTACAACAAATAAGTAAAAAAAAAATGAAAGGAAATGAAAGTTCATGTTATATACAAGTTAAAACATTACAAGCTCTATTAAAATTACTACCAAAATATAATACTTACATCCAGCCTTTCACAAGCAGATTTGCAAAGGACATCTGTGAATCTCTCGCACATAATGAGTATGGAGAATTCCCAGTATTCCCATTCATAAAAATGAACCTGTGACCATCTGTTGAATAACACTGCCATGGTCATTATACAGTGCTTGGCATAATTATTTGGTTTATGAAGTTATTTTTATTGCCAAAATCTTTAAGTAAACTATCAATTCATTTTCATCCAAAGAATTCAAAATAAAATAAAAAGATGAGAATTAAGAAAGCAAACTCTGAAAATAAATGGCAAAAGAAAAACACCATGAAATTACCAGTGAATTTCTAATTCCAAGCTTTTTTTTTTTTTTAATAAAGAGGTGACAAGAGCAAGGTTCCTTCTTTTTTTCAGTGAGTTTTTATCCCTACTGGAGTGTAGCAGTATTTTGGAGGTTTCATGAATGCCATTATATGCTCTTAGGAATGATAATTTTATGTTTAGTTGATCTTAACACAGGAAAGACTTTTTCACCCATGTGACACAATGGTTGACTGTCTTCAGTAAAAACTCATAAAGTCATCTTTCGAGCAAGAATGAAAGGAAACAATATAAATTAAGAAGTAACTGGAGATGGGGGCAAAATACCTCCCCCCAAAAGAGCACCAGAAGCAAAATGTCAGCCTCTGTGCTCTGATTTTACTGCTGCTCAGCAATTTTTTTTATTTTTCTTCCCCACATCTTTTCAGCTCAGAATGAAAAAATGGAGCACACAGATAAACCATTAATGCAGAAAACCACTTTCATTTGAGCTTAAATGCGTGACAAGCTGAGAATGTTAAAAATTAAGTTATTATCAACAAAGACATGTAACACTTGGTTGCATTAAGCAACATCGTCCCAGATTTCTACTTGTTCTATAAATGTCAAGTCTACATTTTGAAACTCATGTAATGAAACATAACCTTTGAAATTTCACACATTATGGATCAGAAAAGTAAAGCTATGGAATTCCTCCATTCTGCCATGTGAAAACACAAGCTATGATACACTGAGCAAAGTGTCTTGCACAAAATAAAATAACAACTCTACATCATGATTATGGATCCCAAAATGACAAAGATGAAACAGGTTTATGGTTTATCACTGATTCACTTAACACCACCGTAAAATTCAGTCTTTGTCTTCTCTCTCACCCTCATTTTGTTAATAAAACTAAGAGCCT